GTTTGTTAAACGTCGAAACGAAATATACATTTGTGTAGTGGTAACTTACATGTTCTAATGTAACAGTGTATAATAAATATTTATTGGTCTACTCTTGTATTGAGCTCTGTTTTAAATTAATGTTTTGAACGTTGCAATTTTCTTCGTTCTTTTACATTTGGATATATATATATATATATATATATATATATATATATATATGTATGTATGTATGTATGTATGTATGTATGTTTGTGTGTGTAAGGATTTAATATTAATAAAAGGAATTTTTAAAAGTGGTCAATATTTAGAATATATTAGAGCGTAATTTATTTTTTAAATTGAAAAATTTCCTTACTGCAAATTAATATATCCGTATTTGATTATTATTATTCCTACTACGCAGTTTCATCCACTTTTCAAGGGTGATTTTGATAAATGTTTTTTGTTTTTTTTTCTTTTTATTTGCGTTTTTCCCAATCTGTCAGTGACGCGCGCAGATTTTTCGTTCACATCTTTCATCAGTTCGTTCATAAACGCAAGTATATTTCCAATAGCCACATACGACAGACGTGTGTATGTTCATGTTCCCTCGCGCGTTCACGACCTCGCTTTGAAACGCATAATTTTCACAAGAGCACATCTCTAAAGTAATTGTTTTTCTATTGTATATTTTCCATTTTGTATTTTAGAACCCATACTGCTTTACGGAACCTTATCTGTGAAAAGCATGGTAAGGTAAGTGGTTAGTATTTTTTTTTTTTAATATTTAAAACCTCTAAAATTATTGATTTTTGCATCGTGTAATGAGCACTTTTTAATGTAACCGTTTTCTGGGCAAGTCTGAATTTGACCGCATAAAACTATTATTATTATTATTATTATTATTATTATTATTATTATTATTATCAAAATATATATATATATATATATATATATATATATATATATATATATAAATACGAAAGTGAACGTTGAAGTCAATACGACAGGCTGTTTCATGCTATATACAATCGTCAGGCCGCGAGTGTTGGGTTTTTCACTAATATTTATAAACAAAAACATAACACTCGCGGCCTGATGATTGCGTCTAGCATTAAACAGCCTATCACCTCTGAGTTTTGACTTCAGTGTTCACTTTCATATTTACATACGCTCTAGCTCTGATATTGAGCACTTTCTAATAAGTACCGCGCATATAATATATAAATAATTATACATATATATATTTATTTATATTTATATACACTTTTACACACACACACACACACACACACACACATATATATATATATATATATATATATATATATATATATATATATATATGTATGTATAAGTGAACATTGAAGTCAATACCCAGAAGAGACAGTCTGTTTCATGCTAAACGTAATCGTCAAGCCATATGCGTTTTGTATTTGCTCGACTATTTACATATACAGGTCAATGATGCATTGTGGGTAGTCTGTTGTATTATTCTAGCGATTAATTGGTTGAGCACTAAAAGTTAGGTTTCAAATTATTCTAGGGGCTGTAGAGTGAGAATAATTGTGGGCCTTGATGCAGTTTTTTTTTGGGGGGGGTACTATTTATTGTGTTGTCTGTTTACTTTTTTTTATTGTTATTCATTATTTTATTGTTGGTTGTTATTATTACGTTTACTTGTGTTTATTTGTGCCTTCGTGATTTGTTCATTTGTTTATTATTTACTTAGTTTATTTACTTATTTATTTGTCTGGATTAATTTTTATTTTACTTATCTTTGCTTATTTATTTTATTTTATAAGTGTTTTCTTTCCTGGACGTAAAGGGTGCAAAACATGCCCAGAAAAGAAAATACTTATGCAAACGGAAGGAAAATTAGATAAAAAGCTTAATCGCCAGTCGTCTTTAATGAAAATTTGTAGCAAATTTTGCTGCCCAAATACACAATTTTAAAACACACACACACACATATATATATATATATATATATATATATATATATATATATATATAAACTGTAGAAACTTTTAAATGTAGCCGTCTCTTCTACTCCAATAGTTTCATACCTCGCACCTCTCGCCTGTGGAACACCCTTCCCAATTACTGTTTCCCTGAGAGCTATAATCTCCAACTATTCAAATGTAATGTTAATCGACATCTCCAGTTACCTTGATCTACCCACTATCCCTCTCCTCGTCCTTTCTTCTATCACTCCTATCTGCTCTCGCTCCAAATCTTCTGCAACCCCCTGCATCCTAGTTGCTTCACGCCTTGCTTAGGGCTTAATGCTTAAAAAAAAGTATATGTAAACCTTCCAATAAATGTAATTCGGTAAGTGATTAAACAACTTCTCCGTTTGATGTGCCCCGTCTGCAAATACTTTAGCAAAATGCCTTATCGCTATTATTATGCCAAAAGGCTTAATGTAGTAATTTGGGTGAGTGAATGCTACGCTATCGCGTCTCTTCACTAAAACTACTTTATTTATCCGGGTAGTAACGACAAAAAAAATGTTTCTTACTCGTGTTGTTCATTGCGAGAGGATCCAATCCCTATGAGAGTTTTATTCGTGTAAAAATGAAATAAAATCGTTCGGGCGACAGTGATTTGCGCATAGAATGTGGCCATTTATAAAACATACACATCCTTTATCTAACCAAAGAATCGCAATATTTGAAGATAATTATTACATCGAAGTTTGTTTAATATAAGATCGTTTTAAACCGTCTTTTATTTGTATACGGCTACAGGAGAAAAACATTAAAAAAATTGTTTCACAATAAATCAAACTGCTTCTTACGGTAGACGTGTTTTATGGGCGGGCCATTTAGGAAAAGGAGTTGATTAATTGAGAAACATTGCTATGGGAATTTATTGTTCTGAGTACACATCACCTTCCCCGGCCATTTTGTTCGTGTGCCCTTGCCAAGGGGTCAGTAAGAAGCAATTCTGCTTGGCTCAAATAATTCGCGAAACTCTCGTAAAAAGGGGGATGGTTGTTAGGATTAAAACGCCATAGTTGACACACAAAAGCTTGGACGGTCCTATTGGATTCGCAAAACGGGTTGGGCAAAATGAGATTAGTTTTATGACTAGAAATCTCGAGAGAAAAGACAACAGGAATGCCAAGGATGGAAATGTGGAAACTATGCATGCAAGCGGTGAAATTACATGCAGTAAAGGTATGTGTGTTGGTATGTGCGTCTGTTAACAATAAAACCTCACGATGCTCTCTCATATAAATGAAAACTACCACTAAGTCATGGAAATTACATGGTATATCTTGACAATGGAACCTGAAGTATTTCACTTAGTCCAGTTGGGTATCCCTGAAAGAATTGTTTATTTATCTATTATTTTATCAAATAAAATACTAATGGGGGAAAAAAAAACAAAAAAAACGGCTTCATTAATTTTCAAAAATTCCAAAAACGACATTAGGAACATTTTCTTGAAAAAATACATCTTGTTTTTTTCTATTCAATAATTTTCAATTGTAACATTTCGAAGAAAAAATGTCAGTGTCTAAGTGTCTTCCTCTTCTCTCTGTATGTGCCGTGTCCCTCCAGGGAGTAGGCGATTATCGCTCTCCACAACTTCCTATCTTTTATAGCTGTTAATAGTATTTTTATTTTTACTATCCCTCACACTCTCTATTCGGCCATCCATTTACACAAACTCGTTAGGCAGCTTAATTGCTGTTTCCATCTGTAACTCTTGCTTTTATTATATCCTGCGAGTCTCAAATTCTCCAAGTCCTCTTTTCTCATTATGTGAACAGAAATTTCAACTATCCATTTTTGATTATAACTGTCAATTTGCTTTTGCTAGCATTTTCCTTAAAACTTCTTCGTTGCTCATAGGCTTCGTCCATTATATTTTCAGTGTGCTTCTGCAGAATCGTATCGCTGTTTTCAAGATTCTTCATCATCCGTGATGATAATGCCCTGTAGGCGGATTGATATGGCATAGCATTTCAGCACGCTTTTTTGTTTCCAACAAAATCTTCCTGTTGTTTAATACTTTGATTAGCTTTTGGAAAGCATCTTTCGCTATTCCACTGCGCATTTACAGCCAACATATTCAAAAGTAACAAGTATTATTTGATTTCCTTGGTGTACGTTTACCATTACACAACATTTCGGTTGAGCCATAATGCAGCTTCATTTAAATGTACAATCGATAAAGAAAAGACAAGTCGCTTTCATTTCTTTTCTTTCTTTTCAGACAAACGTGACGAACTGTATTAAAGGGCCCCTTATATATTTACTTTGACCGCGTTCCTTTATGTCGTCAGTGATTACGACTCTCCACAACTTCCTTTCATTTATAGTTCTTAGTAATAATTGTCTTTTTACTATCCCTTCAAATCCCTATTCAACCACCTACACAAAATTGTTAGGTAGGTTCCTTGCTGTTTTTGTTAGTATTGCTTATCCCTACGAGTCTCAAATTCTCCAAGCCATCTCACCTCGTTATGTGTCCCAGAAATTTTAACTGCATCTTTTTTTATTCTAAGTATAAGTGTTCATTTTCTTTAAAACTTCCTTATTGCTCACATGCGCCGTTCATGATATTCTCGGTATCCTTCTGTACAAGTGCATCTCTGTTGTCATACATATACACATTTGTGAGGAGATTGTTCAGCATTCACTACCATATAGGAGGATTTATAACACGTAACAGTTCAGCGTTTTTTTTTTTTTGTCTTTATTTCTAAACAAATAATTATTGTTTCTTAATATTTTGTTTGCTTTTCGAAATCTGAAAAAAGGCAGGAAAATGAATCAGTCGAGTCGTTACAGTAACAACGAAAGAACTACACAAAGAAAATCAATAATCTAAGTAACATTTGTAACATCTGATTATGTTTACTGCGAAGGACAGCTTCTAAGATTATACCGGCATATTCCAATTCATTTTATCCTATATTGGGATAAAGTATTTAATTATTAGAGATCCGTTGGTTTGGTACCTTGACCGCATAAATTCAAACATACGACTAGATTGCTTACTAGATCGCATCCTTTTGGGCTTACAGCCATATTACGTTGGAACACCCGTTCCCGTACGAATACTAGAAGTTAAGCAAGGTCGAGCTCTGTCAGTACTTAGATGGGTTACTGCTTGGAAATACCAGGGTGCTGTTAGCTTGGATATGCGGATGGTGTAATGGATGGTGGCTCGGGATTGTGAATCGGAGAGCTGAGTTCTAATTCCAGTTAGGTTTGTTATATTCATTTACACGCAAATACTCTTGGACAAGGCATGAATCCACTTTTTCTCAGCTATGGGTAATTTAGTAAGATGTCTACCACTAAAGCATTATTATCACCAAAAAATAATTCTTGAAATCTAAAAATATTTTCTGGCTTTAAATAACTTACAAAGGGTTGACAAGCCGTAAAAAACGAATCAATGAATCAAAGCTCACCGTTTAATTGTTGAAATGGCTAGATGCAGGCAACGTCGAGCCTGGTCAGTATCTAGATGTGTGACCACTTGGGAATCTTCTTTCCTTTTATATGCTGTGTCCTTTCAGGACGTAGGAGATCATGGCCCTCCACATCTTCCTTGGAGCTCTTAATAAGTTTTGTCTTTTTACTATCTCTCCCAAACCCTGCTCTAGCAGGTGTTGTAAGCTTGGATGTGCGGGTGGTGTAATGGATAAGTGGTTCAGAATAGTTAACTGGAGAGCTGAGTTCCATTTTCAGTTGGAGTCGTTATATTCAATTATGTGCAAATAACCTTGGAAAAGGCATGACTCCGCCTTTTCTCAGCTATGGGTAATTTAGTAAGATTTCTATCACTAAATCATTTTTATCACCAAAAAATAATTCTTACATTCTTTAAAATATTTTCTGGCTTTAAATAACCTGCAAAGAGTTGACAAGCCGTAGAAAATGAATCAATCAAAATTTTATTGGCGAAATGGCTAGATGTATCGGTAAGTTCTATTCTAATAGTTTCTTTTCTCGCACTTCTCACCTGTAGAAAACTCTTCCGATTTATTCCTTCCCTACTTACTACAATCTTCAAAAATTTAAAAGCAACGCCAATCGTCATCTTCTATCTTCCAGGATTCTGTTCTTTTATTGTTCTTTCTCATCACTAAAGTCTTCTCATTCTTTTCTACTCCTGATAATCCCTCGTGTCTTAATGGGGTTATTGTCTTTCTTGGGGTTAAATGATTTCAAATATGTGTGGTTGGTATAAGGATCCCTTGCGTAGATTTTCCCAAGAAAAAAATAAATAAATAAATAAACGCCCTAGCGTGTCTGACCTAGCATTATATTTTTTTAATCGGCGTCACCCCATGGAAGGCAGAAAAGTCACTAAGGCACAAGGAGGTTAAAGGGCGTGGAAGAATTAGGCACAGAAACATTAATACTGAACGGGAAGATGTAAAAATAATGAGGAGGACAGTAGATAGTGATTGATATTGGATTCAAATTTTTGAAGATTAAAATTGGCTGGAAAGCATGGAATTCGAAGGGAGTTCCACAAGCGAGAAGTGAGAGAAAAGAAACTGTTAACATAGAAGTTACGGTTACATCTATCAGGGTCAACTGTATAGATCCCGACGCTAGTCTAGTACCGCGCTTAAATTTAAAAAGTCTAGGTACCAAAGCGAAGAGCTATGAAGAACATGTTTTGGTACTATACACGGTTTCATGATCTTTGACCATTTCCACCCGCGGATAAGAGGCTATTATCTTATGTTAATGAGAGAGACAGCCTAGGATGTAGAGATTATAAATGCTTTTTTGTGTATATGTATGACCTTCTATATATGAAGTTAACATTCATTAAACATGTCATAAGAAAGCCCAAAATGTATACATGTGAGACATGTTATGCAACACGATCCTCCTTCGTTATATGTGTGATTGCTGAGGCGCAGGGGATGAAAGGAGGAGTAGGAAGAGCGAGTGAAGCAACACGAAGGTTGGAATTGTTAAAACCTGAAATCCGATAACCAAGTGACTATTTCTCTCATGAAGATAATGTCAAAAAAAAAAAGTTCAAACAAAGGCAAAGTTTCAAAAGAAAAACAAAATCATCGTAAAGAACCATTTAAAAAAGAATTATAACAACAGCAGCAAACTGAGATATGTTGCCGACAACAATGAAAAATGCGGGAAGATCACGTCAAAATCTTGTTGATCGGAAAAGGTCATCACACTAAACATTTGAAGCGCCCTTGGTTTGTGGGAGTTGATGTGGCGATCATCCAGATAGAGAAATAAAGATTCAGAACTGTCTGTAATGCAATTTGACTGATGGCGACTTTGGCGTTGTTAACGAAGAGAAATCTGATCCGGCCACTGCGATGCGCTACTCATTTGAGATAACCTCTTGTTTCACCCGAGTCAGCCTTCAGCAAATTTTGGTCATCTCGAAGGAAATCTATTCGATTTGCATATCTTTTCTTTTCATCATTATGTAAGGAATACAATCGAAGCCTGTATTTCTCGATTCTATTCGACAACATTCTTTTTGTAGTTCAATAACTTTTTTTTTTAAACCAATTTAGGTTTTGCCGATGTATGTTGCTTTCTTTTTCACTTTTCTTTGTTGATTTGATTCTTCCTTTTTTATTTTCTTATTCGTGATCATTATCATTTACTGTTTATCGTGTTGCTGAGAGCAAATAAGAATTCGAATTGCATTTATCGTCATGACGATGTCTGGCCACAAATTAGACATTATTTTGGAGCGAGAGAGAGAAAGAAAAAATCAAATAATAAAAAGCGGTTCTCGTTTTTGTTCAAATTGATCTTCTTATCTTGGAGGACGTCCAAAAGGTTCACAATCTTTTCTCAGTTTGCTTCTTTTTTTTTTTTTCATGTTTATTTTACTCCTTATTTGCATCTTCTTTTCTTCTAAAAGTTTTTCATTAATTTATTCGATTGTTTTTATTTCTTACTTACGATATTAAGTTTCATCGTCTATTTTTTTTTTTCTTTTTGGATTATTTGAAGTTGCTTATCTATTTATCAACTAAATTTATACTTAGAAAACAAAATTATAGACGTGGAATTGTTTAACTTGCTTTGCTCTTAATATCATTTACATTCTTTCATTTGTCTTCTTTTGTGTTTTTGCGTTTTGTTGTTTTGTTTTTTTTTTATTTTATCCTTTTTTTACTTAAGAGACCTTGGTTTTCTTATAATGGAAAAATCGAATTATTCGTTAATCGTTTTTGTCTGAGTTTTTAAAAAAATCATATATGTGTGTGTGTGATGGTGTGTCTAGATCAACGTTTGCATTGATAGAGAGTAACAGACTGCAATAAATATAGATAGATATGAACAGGCTGATAGATAGATAGATAGATAGATAGATAGATAGATAGATAGATAGATAGATAGATAGATAGATATTTCCATAATGCGATATATTTGAAGAGTGGCATGGATAGATAGACAGACAGACAAATACCCATTAACATAATGAGATAGATTTGAAGAGTGTCATAGATAGATAGATAGATAGATAGATAGATAGATAGATAGATAGATAGATAAACAGACAGACATACAGACAGACAGACAGATAGCTATTAATATAATGAGGTAGATTTTAAGTGTATCATAGATAGATAGATAGATAGATAGATATTAACATAATGCGATATATTTGAATAATGTCATAGATAGGTAGATAGATAGATAGATAGATAGATATTAACATAATGCGATATATTTGAATAATGTCATAGATAGATAAATAGATAGATAGATAGATAGATAGATAGATAGGCAGACATACCGACAGACAGACAGATAGCTATTAACATATTGAGATAGATTTGATGAGTGTCATAGATAGATAGATAGATAGATAGATAGATAGATAGATAGATAGATAGAGTAAGCCAAATATATTACCAATATTCACGTGAGTGGGGGTTAAAAGAAACATTAGCGCAGAAGGTATTATTTTAAAAAGTATTATTTCTTTATGTAAAAAAAAATCCATAAATTCTTATCGGGGAATTCATGGATTTATTGATTTGCTTTTTACGGTCTATCAACCGTTTGTGGGTTATTTAAAGCCGGAACATATTAGATTGTAGGAATAAGGTTTTTTACTTTGCGATTTAATATTGCATTTCGAACTGGCATGCTAATTTAAAAAATTTTAAAATTCCCTTCGGCATGACTATTCATTGGACTCGAGAATCAGTAACAGTAACCTCGTTAACCATTACAACACACCGAATACCCAAAATGTATGTCATCTTGTAGTAAGTCAAATATCTTATATACTTAGTCATATAGACAAAAGTACGCAGGCACGTATCATATATATATATATATATATATATAAGCATACATATAAGCTAAAACTTAACGCAGGAATATAGTCTATTACCTGAAATGATTGCCACATGGAATACATAGGAGAAACCTCGGGGAATTTAAATAAAAGATGAGCGCAATTGAGATATTTTACTAAACAACACTCCCAATGAATTAGTTGCTCACAAGAATGACTACGACCATAATTTTTAACTTAAAAAATGCTACTTTAAATGAAAATGCTTACTTTGATTGAAAGAGAAAGCAATTTACTAAGATGAAAGTGTATAGAAAGTGCTTTAATCGCTAGATTATCCACAGTAAATTTGCGTCCAGGTTTTTACATTTCATTTGTCTTAGCAGATGTATTATCACAATGTGAGATACTTAATGACAAAAGTGAAAAGTAATAAAAATAAAAGAAACATTAAGAAACTAAATTAAGTTAGCATGATTATATACCCAATCAAATATTAATAAAAAAAAAACATTTTAATTTTGAAAGGTTAACATTTCAGCGAATGAAACATCACTTAAGTTGGATGATGTCCAAAACAACGAAACGAGTCTCCCGAAAAATCTTTTTCATCTTGTCATTCATTTTTTTAATATACCTACAGTAAATATTCACATATGCCCCTTATATTATACAAAACGTGCATGACAAAAATATCGTTTGTATATTATACATATTTTTTTATTTAGTCGACATGAAAGCACAATAAATTTGGGGGAAAATCACACAATTTCCGGTGCCCCTGCAACCTTCGTCAATGCTTTATACTGAATAGTGTTTCTCCAACTTCAATCAATCAATCATATATATATATATATATATATAT